TTAGAACTGTGCATACAAGAGGGAGAGTTATTAAATTAGAACTCTTCATAAATGGTTCTTAATATGATGGGATTACATGCCTTGTCACCTGTTGCAGTCTTAGGCAAGCTGAATGGTGCCAGAGCATTGCCAGAAGGAGAGACCACTTTTGAATACCTAGAAAAACCTGTGGGGATCATCTTCAGTCAAAAATGACTCAACAGTGCACAATTGTGAAGGAGAGATAGAAAAAAAAGAGAAGGAACAGAATGAGCTGTCCTCACGAATAGAGACGTCAGAGATAGAGAGGGAAATAACAGAATGGGAAGAATTGATTGTAGAAGAAAGAAAAGGAAAGGAATCAAAAGAAAGAGAAGAGAACGTTGAAATCTGTCTGTTGGAGGAGGGAGTAGGAGAAAAGGAGGAGGAGTTAATTATACCAGTATGAGAGGAGGATATAAAATATCAAAGGGAGAGGAGAGTTTTGGAGGTAGATCAGGGAAAGAGGCAACGGGGAGGAGAGGGAAAAGAGAAAAGAAGAATAAACATATATGAAAACACATAGGTTGTTGAAAGACTTTCCTAACATGAAAGTGGGAGGATTACTACCAGATCCGGAATTAAGAAAGGAAAAAGGATTGATAACAGAGACATTAGAATGGACAGTTGTAGTCTTTCCGTGAGGATTAGTTCACTGGAGGAAGGTGATCAGATGTTGTAGGCCCTTTGATTAAGTTAGCCAGAGGACATACGCATATTTTGGTTATAATAGATTACGCTACCCGATATCTAGAAGCTATCCCTTTAAGATCCACCACTGCCAAGGTTTTAGCTAGGGAGTTGATGCAGGTATTCTCCAGATTAGGTTTTCCAAGAGAAGTCCTAACTGATCAAGACACTAATTTCATGAGTCAGACCTTAAAGGAATTATGGCGTTTATTAGAGGTAAAACTTGTTCATACCGCAGTGTACCATCCCCAAACTAATGGATTAGTAGAACAGTTCAATAATGCTTTGAAAGGGATGCTTAGGAAGTTAGTGTTAGAAAAACCATGGAGGTGGCATCTGTTGATAGCTCCTTTGATGTTTGCCATTAGAGAGGTGCCCAAGCCTTTACAGGGTTCTCACCTTTCAAAATGATGTATGTATGGAACCCTAGAGGGATATTAGATTTGGTAAAAGAGAAGTGGGAAATATGAAGCTCAAGTACTAGTACAATAAGTGATTGAAATGCAGGATCACTTGAATAAAGGGGCAGAAATGGCTAGAACACAATTACAAAAAGTGCAACAAAGACAGAAGAGATGATATGACTTGAAGGTTAACCCCAGACAATTGAAGGTGGGACAAAAGGTCAAATCCTGCTACCTGCAGAGAAAGCTAAATTGTTTGCGAGGTGGCAAGGACCTTATGAAGTACTTAGACAGATCGGAACAGTAGATTATAAGAGTTCCAGATAAAAAGAAAAAAATAGGCACATTTCATGTGAATTTATTGACGGAATGGAGGGAACAAGAAGTATTTTGGGAAGAAGTAGAAGACTTAGGTCCTGAAGCCATGATCTGTTTGCAAGTTACACAATAACTCTCTTTAGAGGAAGAATTGAAAATGGATCAAATTGATCAAGTTAGAAAGATAGAAGAAAAAATTAAGGATGTTTTCTCTAATAGACCAGGGTACACCATGATGGTTGAATGTCAGATTAATACCTTGCCTCAAGTTGTGGTTAGGTTAGGGAGAAGGAATTAGCTACATCACCTAAGGGAGACAATTAATAGAGAAGTAGAGGAAATGTTGGCATTCAGAGTGATAGAACCCTCTTACAGTCCATGGAGAGGTTACGCAGTAGTGGTCCCCAAGCCAGATGGAAGTGTGAGGTTGTGTATTGGCTTTAGGAAATTAAACGAGGTATCCTATGCCTAAGGTAGAAGATCTGTTAAAAAGACTTGGGAGAGCTGAGTTCTTGTCTATAGATATGACAAAAGGCTATTGGCAGATTCTATTAAGGTCTAACGATAAAGGAAAAACTGCTTTTTTCACTCCCAGATGATTATTCCAGTTTACCCGCATGCCATTTGGGTTGCATGGAGCAGGTAAATTTGACAAAGGGCTATTGGCAGATTCTTTAAAGATCTAATGATAAAGAAAAAGCTGCTTTTGTCACTCCCGGAGGATTATTCCAGTTTACCTGCATGCCATTCGGGTTGGATGGGGCGGCTGCTACCTTTCAGAGGTTAATGGATAGAATTTTGGAACCTGTACAAGCATTTGCCAGGGCTTATATCAATTATATTTTGATTTACAGTAATAGCTGTAAAGAACATGTGGAGCATTTAGAGAAGGTGTTGATCGAGTTGAGAAAAGCAGGACTCAAATTGAATCCTTCTAAATATAAGATAGCTCAAAGAGGAGTGAAATTCTTAGGATTCCAGGTAGAACAAGGAAGAATCCAGTCAGTACAAGATAAGGTAGAGAAAATATCAGATTGGCCACCACTAAGGAACAAGAAAGAAGTTCAACAATTTTTGGGACTAGCAGGCTATTATCGCCAGTTTGTTCCTAATTTTGCAGAGATTGCAGCGCCCCTCACTGATTTAACTAAGAAGAGGGTAGCCAGTAGGATAAGATGGGGATTTGCAGAACAAGAAGCTTACCCAGTAGATATGCCCCAGACTTAAATAAGCCCTTTATAGTACAAACTAAAACATCAGACAGAGGAATAGGTGATGTGTTGACTCAGAATCAGGAAGGTATGGAACACTTATCCTATATATTTAAGTTAAAAAAAACTCACCATGAGAACAAAGGTATGCCACTATCAAAAAAGAAGCATTGGCAGCAAAATGGGCTATACAGTCACTGAGATATTATTTGTTGGGAGCTCCCTTCACTCTAGTCACAGACCATGCCCCTCTACAATGGGTGAATCAAATGAAAGATACTAACCCATGATTGACACTAGATGGTATCTATGTTTACAACCATTTGCATTTAATGTTCAATATAAGAAAGGTAGTACTCACGCTAATGCTGATTATTTTTCCCGACAGGGGGCATGGGGAACTGCGTTGGAGGAAAGGATGACACACTTGTCGGGGGGGGTTGTGAAGGAGAGATAGAAAAAGAGAGAAGGAACAGAGTGATCCGTCCTCAGGAACAGAGACATTGGAGAAAGGAGAGAGGGAAATAATAGAATGGGAAGAATTGATTATAGAAAAAAGAGAAGGAAAGGAATCAAAAGAAAGAGAAGAGAAAGGTGAAATCTGTCTGTTGGAGGAGGGAGAGAGTAGGAGAAAAGGAGAAGGAGTTAATTATACCAGTATGGGAGGAGGATAGAAAAGATCAAAGGGAGAGGAGAGTTTTGGAGATAGATCAGGGAAAGATGAAATGAGGGAGGAGAAGAGGGAGAAGAGAAAAGATGAATACATATATGAGAAAACACACCAGTTGCTGAAATACTTTCTTAACCTGAAAGTGGGAGGATTGCTACCAGATCCAGAATTAAGAAAGGAAAGGAAATCGATAATAGAGACATTAGAATGGACAGTTGAAGTCTTTCCATGAGGACAAGGTCACTGGAGGAAGGGGATCAGACCGGATCAATCATTTAACCAACCACCAAAGGAGGGAGATTGGGCCAGACATCATGATCAGACCGGATCAATCATTCAACCAACCACCAAAGGAGGGAGATTGGGCCAGACATCTGTGTTCTGGTATGATATGCCCAGTGTGGAGTGCTCCACTGAGGAAACCTACAGACTGAGAGCAGTTTCATCCAGCCCCTCAATGAGCCTTCCTCATCTACAAACAGACTTTTCGTTGTCACCTTATGGACAGTTACCCAATTTGAGTTGTTTTGACCCTGTAGAAGTTGTTGTGGAATCGCCAAATGTTAAAGTAAATAAATCTGTTGATATTCCAAAAGAGGCTTAGTTGTCTTTTCCCCCAAAAAAGAAGGAAATGCTTCAAATTTCTAATGAACCCAATCACAACAATGTATTAAGTAAACCACTGGAAAATTATTTCTCATGCTCTTTTAACTCTTTTTAGAGCAGTTGACATTTTGCACAAGTCCTGGTCTTAGACCTCAGGTCAAACCTTGCCATCAGCCAGCCATACATGGCAAACTAATATGTCTGTACCAAAATGAGAGATGTGGGACAGGCCGCAAAGCACGCTTCACCTCTTTTCTTCAAAGGTAGACTGCCATTAGAAATGGGTGTGCCTCAGCACTTTTGTCCCCATGTGTAACCTATATTGTGAACAAGAAGCTACTATTAGGTCAGAATATGGAGAGACAATGTTTTCCTATAAGCAAAGGTATCAGACAAGGGTGCATTTTTTTCTCCTTACATGTTTAGTCTGTACATAGAATATATCATACAGTAAGCCACACTAGATTCATATGAAGGAGGAATGAAAATTGGTGAAAGAAAGATAAATAATTTAAAATATGCTGATGACTCCATTTTACTGGCAGAAGCAATAATGGCTTGAAATGGCTTCTCATTAAAATGAAAGAAGAAAATGCCAAAACAAGACTGCAGTTGAACATTAAGATAAAAATTATGACTAGAGAACAGCTATACAGTTTCAATGTCAACATTGAAGAAACTGAAACTGTTAAAGATTTTATATATCTTGGTTCAATCATCAATCCAAATGGACTTCACAGTCAAGACTGAGACACAGAAAGGCAGCAATCAAGAGATTAGAAAAGGTCAGGTGGAAGGATGTGTCATGGGATATCAAGGCCAAGATTATCCACACTCTTGTCTTCCCAGTCATGATGTGAAGGCTGAGCAGTAAAGAAAACTGACAGGAAGAAAAATGACTCGGTTAAATTGTGCTGGAGAAGAGCTTTGTAGATACCCTGGACTACCAGAAAGATGAACAAGCGGATCCTACAGCAAATCAAGCCTGCGCTATATCTGAAGGTAAAAATGATGAAACAGGCTGTCATAAATTGGGCACATCATGAGAAAGCAAGATTCTCTGGAAAAGGCATTAATGCTTGGAAAGGCTGATGGCAGCAGGAAGACCAAATACAAGATGACTGACTCCCTAAAAAAGCCAGTGCCTTGAGTTAACAAGAGCTGATCAGCGCTATTGAAGACCAGACATTTTGGAGATCGTGCATTCAAAGGATTGTCATAAGTCAGAGGCAACTTGGTGGTACATAACAACAACACCCCCTTCAATCACAAATTATTAAAACTTTTGTTTAATAACTTCAATTCTTAAATAAGCAGTCTTTAATACCCATTCCCCTACTTTTCAATACATGTTTCTGTCCATTGTTTCTTAGTTTTGGATTCATTTACAATATTGGTTCTTTTTTTTTTTTAAATTGTGTTTCTGATAGAGGTAGATGCTTGTTTTCCAAGTCTGGCTTTACCTGCACACTTCTGGGGGAAATACCAACGCAAGCATAAGGAATGCCCTACAGAGAACAGAAATTCAAGGTGAAGCTGTTTCTCTTCTGAATAATTTTAAACCTATTTTTTCCATGCAGTTGATTGCAGTTCTGCAATTATTTTTCCTCCGACTTGTCTCCCCAAAAAGTTCCAGAAGGTTTAGCACTAGCGATTCATTTATCTTCTGCTTCTAGTTTCATTTTGGATGAGTTCTCTTCTTATGGAAAGCATGCTGAGTCTCTTGGGCCTGCCATAAGATGAGTAACTGTTTTACTGCTGTTGTCCAAATGGGAAATTCACAAGATGCCTTTTCTAAAAAGAAAGAAAAAGGTATTTTGAGTTGCGATTTGCATTAAGATGTATCATATTCCCAAGAAGAAGGTAGTCTTCACACAATTTGTTGGCTTGTTCTACTGATAACCCATTTGATCTGGGCAGATTTTGTTTAAATACACTTGTTACATCTTGTATGTATGCCATCACATTAGAACCAACTTATGGCAACCCTAATAGGGCTTTCAAGAGAAGTGAGATATTTAAGGAGTGTTTTTTCAAGTGCCACCCCTCAGGGAGTTTCCACAGCTAAGCAGGAGTTGGAATCCAGGTCTCCTGACTCCTAGTCCACTACAACACACTAGGTGTCATATTCCTGCTTGGGTGTAGAAACTCATTGGAGGAGAGGGAGTGTGACACTGGTAAAACCACTCCTTAAATATTTCACATACCTTGAAAATTCTATTAGGATGTACATTCTGTCAGATGTACATTCATTCACACACACACACACACAGAGTGACTTGTATACAAATACACTTATAAAGCAAACATGTCAGGGTGCACCTGTGTAATGCATATGGGAATTCTGCAGTATCTCCATAAGAAATGGCAAATCCTTGCATGATCTGTTTTGTCATAAAGAATGTATTTGTGTGCAGATCCTCTGTTTTCTTGGGAGCTTTAGAATAGCAATGAACAAATCAGAACAAGAAATACGGTTATCTTCTTTCTTTCTTAAATTGACATATATAAATGGAAATTTTAAACATACATTTAAAATTTCTATATGCTACCAACACCAAATTCAGCCTCATAGAAGCTTATAAGTTGCAAATATAAAAGCCAATAAACCACATGGTAAAAACACCTGGTGAATAAAATTAATTCAGTCAGCAAGATTTTAAAATGCACAAAATACTGTAAACACTAGAAGGAATGGAAGGGGTTCACTTAATACCTAAAAGAAGCCAATCTTGGTGCCAGCTAAACTTCCCTAGGGAGGTTATTCCAAAGCTGTAACACTGGAGCCAAAAAGAAACCCTTTCTTTTTTCCATTTTCCCATGGGTTGGTACGTTAGTATCTTTCAGCATGTACAACAAGAACAAAACAAAAAGAACAAAATACTGTGCACGTTATAGACTAACAGTTACCTTTATGTTCATGAATTACAGCCCACTTACTCAAAAAAAATTGTCTGAGAAAGTAGACTGCAATCCAGGAAAGTTCACACTGAAATAAATGTATTAGTTTTTAAAGGGCCACTGTATTTTTAGTTTTCATCTGTGTTATTTTTTCTCTTTTCATTTCTTGGGGTATACAGATAACACAAAACTCCAGGCTGGTTGTTGAAAATCATAAGATTATGAATGTTTCTGTTTAGCTGTTTTTATTCTTCCCAGTTTTCTACAGTACTTTTCAGCCACTGCTCACAAAGGAGTGTATGAAGCAGGTCTACAAAACATCACATATGAAACTATGAATATAACAACTACAATGATCATAAATTAAAAGAGCAGGCCAATAGAATATCAGCTAGCAAGCCACAACTGATAATTGCTGCAGCAATTGTGCTGTTCCTAATTTTCTCTCCTAAACATGTTGTACTGAAGCACAGAAATAAAATGGTGGTTGCCATATGTTCCTCAGACAGGTGTGCAGGCTCTAGCAACAGTAGGTCCCCAACTCTGTTTCTTGAGGAGTGAGTTAGGTCTTTCTAAGTGCTCCCTTGAAGGGTGTCAAATACCAGGAGACGGTCTACATGGCATCCAAAGAAGGCAAGGCAAGGCAAGGGGCTACTTGAGATAGTTGGCTGTAGCAACTAAGTATTATTGAAAAGGCATGCAGAGAATGTATGCCGTGTGCCAGGCCCTTATCCATGTGAAGAGCTGACTATGAAAGCTTGTGAAAAGCCTATTCAATTTGGAGTGATTAAGTTCCCTCTGCGTCCAGAAGTCTATTCATAATATTCTTTTGAGTGGGAAATTAGCCGGGGAGCAGGCAGGGGCATGGAGAGTCATGTTCTTTCTCATCAGCCACATAAAGCGGTACGGCTGATGAAGAGAAACATGGACCATAAATATAGGATACTTTTTTAAAGGGTGTGATCAAATGTTGCATCTGTTCTTACTCTACACTTTCTTGTCCCTCTCTGTACATACACTTCTCTCATGCTGCAAGTTCAATGCCTGAATTATTGTTTCTTTTGCATGACTGGATTCATGCAGTTACACTTGATACCTGAGGGGAAATGCATGATTGCCCAAAAGGGATTGGGGAACAATTCAACATTGCAGTGGGATTGCAATGCAGCTGCAATCAATGAAAGGATCTGATTTAATATTGATTGCTAAAAGAAATTGAGTGCAGTAGCACAAAGTTTCCATTAAGATCCATGAATGAATAACAACAGGAGAAACAAATACCAGGCTGTTATCTAGGAGAAATCTAACTAAAGCGATTGTTCAAAGTTTTGTGTTCACCCACATTTTTTATAGATAGAAATTAGATATAGCCTTGATCCCTTAGGGCTCACTGTAATTCATTTGAATCAATGATATGAGAATTTCCCACTGTCCACATGACACAAGGCTTAATATCATGTATCAACAGCAGCAAACAGAAACAACCACCTTCCCCTTTCCATGCTATTTTGCACCCTCTATAGTACAGTGGTGCCTCGCTTAACGAGCGCACCGTATAACGATGAAATTGCATAGCGATCCGTTTTTTCGGATCGCTAATGCGATCGCTGAACGTTTTTGTAATGGGGAAAAATTCGCTTTGCGAAGACCGGTAAGCGTTTCGCTTACCGATCTTCGCAAAATGAACCCCGACGATCAGCTGTTCGGCGGCCAAAATGGCCGCCGGAAGCCGGGAAATGGCCCGAAATGGCCGCGCGCAGCGTTTTCGCGCCCTCGTTAAGCGAGGCGAGGGCGCGAAAATGGCTGCCGGCCATCCTGAAGCTTCGCTGAACGGTGAGTATTTGGCCTATTTGGAACGCATTAAACATCGTTTAATGGAAATCGCTGCCCCGTTCAGCGATGCTTCAGCATAGCGAAGGTTAATCCGGAACGGATTAACCTCGCTATGCGAGGCACCACTGTATATGGTGTAGTTTTGCTTTATATCCAGTGGCAGACTTATATTTTGGGAGCCCTGAAAGGAGCCCCTTCATAAGCAGCAATGGGCTCTTCTTCAGTGGGGCTGTTCCACAATGGATCACCACTTTTTTGGGGTGGGAAACAAACAAGAAGAACTTGAAATTTTAATTCAGAAGGGTAACTATGACTTGATAGGAATAACTGAAACTTGGTGGGATGACTCCCATGACTGGAATACAGCAATTGAGGGATATAAACTGATCAAAAATAACATAGAGAATTAAAAGGGAGGTGGAGGTGTAGTATATGTCAAAAATACACATTCCTGCACAGAAATACAGGAGGAGGACAGTGGCTGTCCCAATGAGACCATGTGGATCAATCTAGCTGGGGGCAAAAAACAAAGGGAACTTGGTAGTTGGAGTCTACTACCAACTGCCCAATCAAAGAGAGGAAGCGGACAAAACTTGAAAAACAAATTGCAGGGTTTTCAGAGACACAATGTAGAAGTGATGGGAGATTTTAATTATCCAGATAAATGTTGGGAGGCAAATTCTGCCAATAATGTCCCTTCTAATAAATTCCTGACTTGTGTGGCTGATAATTTTCTCCTACAAAAAGTGGAGAAAAAACTAGAGGATTTGCTATCCTTGACTTGATTCTGACCAACAAAGATGACTTGGTGGGGGAAGTGGCAGTAAGGGAAACTCTAGGTGAGAGTGGCCATGTCCTTCTAGAATTCTTTATTTCAAAGGAAACAAAAGCAGAGTGTAGCCACACACGTCTGCTGGATTTTTAAAAAAGCTAATTTTAAGTACAAGGATAAGTAGGTCCCATGGCAGGAGATCCTAACAAGAAAAGGGTGGGAGCTTCTAATAAAATAAATTCTAAAGGCAGAAACACAAACAATTCCAACAAGAAAAAAAGGTGGGAGGTGGCAAAAAAGTCCAGTGTGGCTTCACAAAAAGCTCAGGGAGGACCTAAAAACTAAAAAAGACATATACAGGAAATGGACAGAAGGCCAGGCCACCAAGGAACAGTATAGACAAGTAGCAAGGAAATGCAGGGATGACATTGGGATGGCAAAAGCTGAGAATGAGCTGGGGTTACCAAGAGACACTAAAAGCAATAAAAAAACATTCTTCAGGTATGTGAGTAGCAAAAGACAAACAAAAGACATCGTGGCACAGCCCCACAATGGAGATGAAAAAATTATAACAGATGACAAAGAAAAGGCAGAGATGCTCAATTCCTATTTTAGTTCAGTCTTTACCCATAAGTCAGACTATGAACTTCCAAACAAATTGGAAGTGCAAGTGGGGGGCACAGGATTGCAGCTGGAGATTGATAAACAAATAGTCAAAGAATATTTTATCACCTTGAAAGACTTCAAATCTCCAGGGCCAGATGAACTGCATCCGAGAGTACTGAAGAACTCTCAGAACCATTATCCATTATTTTCTTGAAATCATGGGAAACGGGGGAGGTGCCAGAGGATTGGAGGAGAGCCAATGTTGTCCCTATCTTCAAAAAAGGCAAAAAAGAGGAACCTGGGAACTACAGACCAGTCAGCCTGACATCAATCCCAGGCAAAATTCTGGAACAGATAACGTGGTCATTGTACAAGCAACTAGAAAACAATGCAGTAATAACTAGAAGCCAGCACGGATTTGTCAAGAACAAATCCTGCGAAACTAATTTGATCTAGTTTTTTGATCAGGTTACCTCCCTGATAGACAGAGTGAATGCTGTGGACATAGTATATCTTGACTTCAGCAAAGCTTTTGACGAAGTGCCTCATGATATCCTGATTAGCAAGCTAACTAGGGGTGGCCTGGATAGATCAAGTGTCAGGTGGATACACAATTGGTTACAGAATCATACTCAAAGGGTGATGATTAACAGATCCTTCTCTAACGGAGGAGGTAACTAGTGGGGTACCCCAAGGCTCAATCCTTGGCCCGGTGCTCTTCAATATTTTTATTAATGACCTGGATGAGGGAGTGCAGGGAATGCTTGTTAAATTTGCAGATTTTACAAAATTGGGCAAAATAGCTACATAATACCCTAGAAGACAGGAGAAAAAATTCAAAATGACCTAGAAAGGATGGAGCACTGGGCCAAAAGCAACAGAATGAAATTCAACAGGGATAAGTGCAAAGTCTTGTACCTCAGAAAAGGATTTCCAAGATGGTAATACACAAAAGAAAAAAAAGATAAAGAAAATCACTTAATTGACTGGGGGGTAGGCCTGTTTAAATAAACTCTCTAACTGAAGGGATGAAAGAGCTACAAAGAAGCAACCCCTTCACCACCAAAAGTTAGCAATTTGAATTTCCTACCTTTTCCCCCTGCCTTTTTGTGTTCGTAACTGGAAGCTCCGGTCGCAAGTAGAAGCAAAATTGTGTGGCCGGAGCCGGTCGTAACTCGAAATGTTCGTATGTCGGGACATTCGTAAGTAGAGGCACCACTGTATTCAGTTTATAAACACACACAGGTTTCCAAAAACTCCAATATCTTATACACTTGCTATTCTGTCATGCCATAGCTCAAATTATGTTTTTATAGTAGCTTTTGTTGGCAATCTGTTTTGAAGATATGTAGGTCATGATTGTGTCACTCCAAAATGGGTTGGGCAACTTTGGACCCACAAGTATGCATCATGCCATCTTCAAAAGAAATCTCAGCTATTCCATTTTGCTCAGGAGTGTGTGGAACAGTTCTCCTCCGCAGAATGCCTTGATCCTCTAGGAAAATTTGTGTCTGGTGTGAAAGGTAGTTGCCCCCATTATCTGTCTGGATTGTCTTAGGTTTTCTTTCAGATTTGTTGCTCACCATGGCCATACACTTCTTCAGCATATTATGTGTCTTACTCTTCTCCTTCAAGCAGGTAGGTGACGTAGTACCTCAAGAAATCATCCACAAATATTAGAGTATACCTATTACATCCCAGTGATTAGATATTGAATGGCCTGCACCAGTCACTATGTAGCAGATCCCACACCTGGGTGCTTCTTCTCTCAATCTTTGGTAGGAATGACGACCTAATACACTTTTCTATGATACAGCGTACACACCTGGTTGCATTGGTTGCATTGTGTGGATTTATTCTGTGTTTTGTAGCAGGTTTCTGGTTTTGCAGATTGCTTTCAGATCTCTGTGTGTGAAGCAACAATGCCACAGCTCCATGCAGTTGCCATATTTTCTCTGATCCTGCTCTGTGTTGATCTGTTGCTGTTCATCTGAAAAGTTCAGTTTATAGACATCATTAGATTTAACTGCTTGAAAAGATATTTGCCATCTTTCATTACTGTACACTACAGATAGCATGCAAGGTTGCAAAATAAATAAATACATAAATAAACCTCCAACAAAGCTTACAGAGGGCAATTTAGAGCAAAACCTTTGCTCTGCCCCAACCTGAGTTTTCCAAGGTTCAGATAGTAAAAGGAAGTGTACCTCTGAAAATCTCAGCTTAGATTTTAATCAGAGATGGAGAAGATACTGAGAGTATCCTTTAGTGAGCATTTCTAATCTCTTGTTGGATGTGCTACAACACATGTGTGAAGGACAAAAACTAGTGTGCCGTCCTCGGCAGAAGATAGACAAGAGGAGACATTTGGATGTATAGAGGGGAAGCTCTTAAAGATAGAGGAAGGTGAAGTGAAGGGTGAGAAGACGATAGAGATATATGGAAATTTAGAGTGGAAATTGACATGAAAGAGCAAAACAGGAGAGACAGCGCGGTGCAAATAGATGATATGAGCGAACCAGCTAGCAAGATTGGTGATCTGTTGAGAGAATTTCCAAATCTCAAGATGGGAAGAAGATTGTTACCAGATCCTGCCTCTCCCAGAGGTGATGGGAGGGTGGTGGAGCCACTAGAATGGACGGTCATGGTTTACACCCGCAATCAAAGTGGAAAGAGGAAAGTGATCTGTCCCAGTCCCTCCTGCAACAACCCACCCTTGGAGGGGGATTGGGCGAGGCACCCGTGTTGTGGGATGGTGTGTGCTGTGAAGAGTACCCCAATGAGGCCGATGACCGACCGTGAGCGCTTTGGTCCAGCCCCAATGTGAGGAGTGGAATATTTACACCAGAGTCAAAGATATTGAGTTATACAATTATTCCAGAATTAAGCTGTTTTGATCCGTTTAATCTTGTTAACCCAGAAGCTGATGAGAATAAAGTTAAGGTTAAGGTAAAATACTGAAATACTGGACAACACCAGCAATCATTATGTCAGACTGCACAGGGAAGCCATTGAAATCCACAAGCACCAGCAGAACTTCAACAAAAAAGAGGAAAGTGTGAAGCTCAACAAAACTTGGCTCCCAGCTCTCAAAAATACAGCGTGCAAAAGGTCAACAAACTCTACCCAGCCACAAGGACAGGGTCACTACACACAAAAGACCAGCTAATGACACTCATCAACCATAGTGACAGATAATCTCTTCTCTTTAGCACAACAATACACCCACAACAAGACGCACTAATCACCCATCTAAAGAAAAAGACAAAAGCCTATCTCACAGCCATAAATACTGCACTCCCAAACCAACTACACCAGAGCACCAGAGACTGGCGAAACGTTAGGAACTACACACAAAAGACCAGCTAATGACACTCATCAACCATAGTGACAGATAATCTCTTCTCTTTAGCACAACAATACACCCACAACAAGACGCACTAATCACCCATCTAAAGAAAAAGACAAAAGCCTATCTCACAGCCATAAATACTGCACTCCCAAACCAACTACACCAGAGCACCAGAGACTGGCGAAACGTTAGGAAGAACAACCTTCAGAACACGGCCAAAGAGCCCGAAAAACCTGCAACTGTAAGCAATCCCCCATCTCCAAGGAGATTAAGGGGAAGCCGGAGAAGGAGAGATTCCAGAAAATTAGACAGTCCTTATGAGCCAAGACGAGCCCTAGATCTCAGCAGGCCCTGAACCAATTTTCCTTCCTCAAGTCCATCCCCTTTGTTAAGAAAAAGTAACAAACACAGATAATCCATGAGTGGCCAGTTAGTTAGGCTAGTTTGTACAAGAGACCAGTGCATGCAATCTTAAACATTATTGCTTTTATTCAGAAAGATAGTTCTAAACAGAATTCAGTTTATAGCAAAGCAATTCAGTCAGAAACATTTCCATATCAAGTCAGACCACCCCACAGACTCCAGCTAAGAAAAATAACACAAGAAAACATACTAAGCTAGAATTATGCATAGGCGTTGTCTTTCTTACATATCCTGTGACTCCATAGTCCATAGTCCATCAGGAAAGGTTAGATTCCAGTTGTAATCCAAAAGTCCATGTTGGCAAAAAGCTCCATTCAAAAGTTATAATCCATTTTGGGAAAAAGCACATGTCTGTCCTTTCTCAGTCAAACTCCATCTTTTTCCCACTTCTACCAACTTCCTTCTTCTTCCCAGGATGCCTCATAAGGAACACCCCGTCCTGGGTCTTGTTGTCCCGCCTAACTTTCTCATGGGAGCTTGAGTTGTTATCATGTCTTGTGGCAGAATTATTATGACTACCAGGAATGTAACTCTCTGGCTCTCCTTAGCAACTAGATAACCAGAGAACGAAGCTTCTCTGACACAGCATGTAACATTTTCCTACCACAGACACAGACATTAAATCAAGATGGATGCTATTGGGACAATCTTAGGACTACATATCCCATTCTAATACACATAAAAACACAAATCATCACAGCAACAACCGTAGAGCCAATGTTTGTCCATAGACAGTTTCCGTCGTCATGTGGCCAGCGCAACAAGACACGGAACACTGTTACCTTCCCACCATAGTGGTACCTATTTATCTATTTAACTGCCTCTGTCTCTCATTCCCGCCAAAATGATGGAACTGTCACCAATTCTAGAAGAACCCAATCACAACATGTATTCAGTATCATGTGCTTACAGAAGCCAATCTGGGTGAAGATTGCCAGAGTCAGGTATAGCTGAAGCATTCACTTCTTTTTCTTGCCTAATCTGTCCCTTCTTGACCCATATTAACTTCCTGTTCTTCTGTCTGTCTGTCTGTCTGTCTGTCTGTCTCTCTCTCTCTCTGTCTCTCTCTCTCATTCACTCAGGCCCTCACTGAACAAGATAGTGTAACTAGAAGCAGTGCTCCCTCAAGTGGCCAAAATAAAGGTTATTGTAAACATTAAAACAGGAGCATGCCGTTGGAAGAATGATTATTCATTGTGAACACCAGCTACTTCTCCATACCTAATTGTCATTAGACATGGATAGCAAAGGAGATCATGTTGTTGAAGAGAAAACATTGCAAGAGAAAGAAAGACTAAATTCCCTGAATGTATCTTGGCCTTGCAGGCATATAACTAGTGTGACCCAACCTTATCTTGCTATTGTCAGATGAATTTACTATCATCTACATCTTGTTCTTCTACTCAAAATAGCCTTTACTACTTATTCCAAGTACCAGTTTCCATGAATATTCAGCATCCCTCAGAAGTCTTTCCTGGACCTGACTCCGGTAAACTTTGCCAGCATATTTCATGACATTTAGGGATCCAAAGATAACAGTATAGGCGGAACTATTTCCTCTTGAAATTTTCAAAGCATATCATAACACAAACTATTCAATTTTCCTCTCATGTCTAAAGTGGGATGCAATATTCCAATTGTTGTTGGACTAGCACAAAATAAACACGTCAAGGAAAAATGTGAGTCAAGAAAGAGAGAAAGAAGCCAAGACAAGAGGGGAACATTTTAAAAATTGCCAGTACAACAGTAACTAATCCCTTTCTGGGTCCTTGGAGTTGTAACTAAAGTACATTTCCAAATTCCCTCCCTCCTTCCCCCCTCCCCACATATACTTTTGTGACATTCCTGTGTATTACACCAACTGCAGTCATAGTAGCTTTCAGAGTTAAACATGCAGTGTCACTCAGAGGAATGTCACTTGGAGTCGGTCAGCCTGCCAGCCATAACTTGTGGTACGACAGGGTGGGAGGGGAGGCACAACGTTCAGTTACAGGGAACAGCTGTAGACTCTCAGCATGAAAAGGCGACAAAAGGAAGCAAAAGAATGTGAACAATGAAAACCTCCTAAAGGGTTTCTTTTGAGTATTAAGTGATAGATTTTATAAGATAAATTTCTTCAATCTTTCAAACTATACAGAATTTTTTCTCATCTATTAAATGGCTACATCTGATATAACCTATGCAAGCATTCTGAATTTGCAACCTGGGTGAAAGAGTTCCTAACCTTATCCTGCAGAACTGAATGTGGGAACCACAGAACCAGCATTGGCAAATGCTGTCCTAAACTTTCAAAATGTTCTTTTTAAAATGAATATTCAAAAACAACTTTATGTAAGATCCAGAAAATGATAGCTAAACCAGTCTGATAAACAAATGGGAAGAGTGTATGTGTGTGTAAATCATAAAAAAGCTAATTTGTAATCATCTATATATATTGATCAACAATATCTAGCATGGGTTTGTCAAAACACAAAAGAGTCCAGTCAAACTAATACCTCACTCTTCATCATATTTGTAGTTTAGTAAATTGTGTGGGTTTTTTTCAATGTGATATACATTGGTTTCAAGGCACAATCAGACAAGCATTTGTTTTCCTATTTATCCTGTGTTCCTTATTGATCATTTTATTGTCTTCACCAATTATCAGATTATGCTGTTATTAATCCCAAGTAAATCCAATATTTTCGTCTATTTGGTACCTTTCATCCAGGTCTCTTCCCCCACCCCCACATTGATTTTTTTAGTGCTTCCAATACATTACTGGGCATATCTTGAGAACCTAGATCAAAATGTATACAGTGAGGTCTGGCTTGAGAGTGACTGCTTTTGTTGCTTCTCTATCACCCCTTGGCAATAACACTAATATAACAACTTTTCTTTACTCTTTTAAAAGAAGCTACAACAATCCTAGCACTAGATCAAATGAAAGGAACTAAGCAATTTTTGTGCTATGCTTATATACCGATGAACCATTTCATTACTATAATAGTTGTCAATTTTTAAAAAGCACTTTTAATCAATTGCTATTTGCAGTGGGAAACATGAAATACATTTACAAAAAAAAATTGGGACATGTCAACAAAACCTGTAATATTAGTTGCTCTCTGTATAGTGCTGTATTGTATTTCAGCCCTCCATCTTTAAAAAAAACTAAAAAGATTATCGAATCAAGAGAAGATAATAGTTATCGCCAGTCACAAGGCCCTTAAAGGTGCCTATCTTTTAAAGATACACACAAGTAATGCAGGACTTGGATTCATAAAGATATGATCCAGGATTGAAAATTGGTGTCTTCAGGACAACTCATGCACGTAATTGCCATAGATTAGGCTGGTGGAAAGCTATCATAGAAGATTTGCTGATGGGTTTCTCAAGACATCCTACGTTTCATTTCTTTGATTGCCCTCCTATGCATTGGAGATAATGGATGGAAATCTAAATCAAATGGAAATGTGCTGTTCATTGTTAAGAGTCACATGTTTCATAGAGAACATTTTCTCCTAAAAACATGGTATGCTTTCTTGACCTTAGAGTCAATGAAGTAAGGAGGATATCCTTGGTGAAGCAGGTGTTTTGTGCGCTCCTTAGTTCTTTTTAAATAATTATATTTGGTGTTATAAATGCATCCAACTCCAAAAGCCAAGCTGCATATATTATGTTATGTTCAATGATAAGGACTGAAGAAAGATAATGGATTTTCATTGGTGCTACTACACATTTATTATGGAAAGAAAATATTCTAGGTTTTATTTGTCCTTCATCCAGATCCTAATGATAACCTTAACGTACTATCACCATATGAAAGGTCTGTTATTAGTTTCTTTACAAATGCTTTTAGCTTAGCCATGAACAGATTTACTCTCCCCCAAAATTAGTGCTCCTTGCTGTACACTGGAGTTTTTATGTCGTGTCCACTGAACATGAAACTATTACAAGTGAAGAATTTTATTGCCTTAGTGATAAAAACCTCTGTGGGGAGATCCATAGAACTGACAGTATTAAGGAATTCTGCTGCAGTTCTGTGATTATGCAATGTTAGTGTAAATAGATGTGATATCCAATGTAAGAGGTATGGTATGATCATTGATTGGATACTGTGTATTTAAAAACTCTGTTACTGGTGTCTCTGATATATGAGTAGTAAGGTGCAACTAGAATATGCTCACTGAATCAGTGGGGATATGGTGAATCAAATCCTCCATAAGTTCCACTGATTCAGTAGGGCTACTCTAGATGTGACTTACTACTACATTTCAGCCAATATATGTATATTTTCAGTCATTGATTATTACCTAAGCCAACAAGGTGGAGTTGCTGAATTTATGGATTTCTGGCAACATATATAATGCCCAGCAGAGGTTTGGTTTTATAAAATCACTTGTGGATATAACTACATTGCAATTTACCCTACCATTTATGTCAGAATTGGCACGGTTAAAATCAAAGTATTTGCTGGATAATACATGACATAAAGCTAAACACAGCCTTTTTTTCCATAGACATGTTTATTTTTGTTCAGCTAGCATGGGGTGCCTTGTTTTGTACTGTTTCAGCTGTAATAGTGTTATCTTCCAGAACACCATCCCAAACTGACTGCAATCTGGAACAAGGTGCCTTGCTCTTTGGAGAACTCTACTACAGAGAAGCTTAAATCAAAACGATACTGCAGGCTACAATTAATGGATTGTAAATAGGCATTTTAAGAAACTAGTAACTCCAAAATGTGCATACACATGCTGTTTTTAATGGATACTAAGTTTTTGGATACCAAGTTTTTGATATGGACTTTTCAGTTTTGAAGAGCTATGACAAAGACAGACAGGCATTCTCTTTCGTTATATTAAGAAGATGAACATGCAACTTATAAAGCCAGCATCTTTTCTCAAGAAACCACTTTAGCTACATGAAAGGTAGCTTTCCTGTAGAAATAACAACAGCAATGCCCACCATGTGCCATCTGAGGTGGCCTGGATCTTCTCACAAGGATTTCCTCAGGCTACAATTAATGAATTGTAAATAGGCATTTTAAGAAACTAGTAACTCCAAAATGTGCATACACATGCTGTTTTTAATGGATACTAAGTTTTTGGATACCAAGTTTTTGATATGGACTTTTCAGTTTTGAAGAGCTATGACAAAGACAGACAGGCATTCTCTTTCGTTATATTAAGAAGATGAACATGCAACTTATAAAGCCAGCATCTTTTCTCAAGAAACCACTTTAGCTACATGAAAGGTAAACCACATCACTCTCCTGTAGAAATAACAACAGCAATGCCCACCATGTGCCATCTGAGGTGGCCTGGATCTTCTCACAAGGATTTCCTTTGTCAGTAGGCTCAATGCATTTCTTTCAAGACCATCTTCTCCCTATTAAATTCAGTGGTGGTCAACAGGCCTGAAAGACTTATTGCTGCAGTACTGTTTCAATTCGGCCCAGGCAAGGGCGCGGCCCTCCCCACTCCAGGAATGCCCCCGCAGGGTATGAACCGGCTTCCTTCGTCCAGGAGAGCTTATCCTGGTGGTTCCAAGGATTTTCTCGCCCTTTCTCTAACTCTGGGCAGCGTGGCTGTTGACAATGAGGGCTGAGGTCTTGCCGCCTTTCTCAGCTCAGGCAACAAGGCGACAGAACAGCGACCGCTGCCGCCGCCTCATCTCTCGGACCAGCCCTCTTGGGCCCACAGGTGCAGGGAAGGTGAGCCAGCCAAAGGGAAAGCAGCACCACCACCCCCTCCTTTTCTTTTTTTGCCCACGCTTTCGTCCCGAGGACCAGGCAAACCTAACCCCACTTGGGCTATCGCCCGGCGCCACCACCCCCACCCTTGGCT